CAGCAATTTGCTCCAAATGCATAAAACTCAAATAGAACAGCTTTGCACAGTGGCAGGCACAGAAGCGAAAGCAAGAAATGCCCTGGGCTTACGGCTGTGGGCTGAGAGGCCATCACAGCTCCTATAGCTTGGGGTTGCTATAGGGACAGCTGGGCCTGTCCTGGCAGAGAGCTGGCACATCAGTCACCGGCATGCTCCATGCCTTGACCTGATGTTTTTGTTGGCTATAGAAAGGGAGAGACAGCCATTTTGGTGCTGGAGCTGGAGAAGAAGGGCCTGGCTCCTCTCTTGGGTGAGAGGCTGCAGCAGACAGCAGCAGCTTTGGGTTGATCAATAAGGTACTTAGGGGCAGTTCTTAAATGATGGAAGTGTTGAATAGTCAGTCTTTAAAATGTGTGTTTGGACAGGGGCTATACAGTCCCAGAATGAATGTGCTCTGTTTGCCTTTCTGTGGGGCGAGTGGCTGGAGGGAAAGGGAAATGGCTGAACACTGTGCTGGTGGCAGCTGGGCGTTCCACATCTCTGCCTGCTTCAGAGGGGGATGAGGAGCTGAAAAAGCTATCTTGCTCAGAGCCAGGAGCTAGGATTTGAGAGGGGAAAATAGGAATGGATTATATGCGAGCTTACATTAGTTGACAGGGGTACATCACTTGTATTTAATCTCAGAAGATTTAATTGTATTTTAATAATTATTTTGCGCTGTTTTTTTCCAGGAGCTTTTAGTTCTCTAATGGGTGTGTTTTCACACACTAAACTGAAGCAGATGTGCTTCAGCATGGGCTGAGACAGTCAAGCCAGATACAAAGGAAGCCTATCCCAAACAAGTTTTCTTGCTTAAAAAAAATGCAGAAAAATTGTTTTCACATTGTATCTCAGGGTGGAGGGTGGGGCAGGAGGTCAGCATATGTATTTATTTACTGGCATGTTGTTGTCAATCACATAAGATAAGTCTTCAAAGAAATATATAGCAATGAATAATTCTGCAGAAACTGCAGTGGTGAAGTTAAACTTGTGCACTAATGTTGGCGAGATTCAGCTCGGTGAAAATTGGGCATGCAGATTGCAGTGGGTTTTGCTGGGATCCAAATGCTTCGCATCTTATGCTCCAAAAAAGTTCTGGCTTGGAACTTTATAAATGTACATTTGGAGAAAGCACAGCGGTCAGAGCAGTCGTCTTCACAAGAACAATATGTTTTGGCTGAATAAGTGCTTGCTCTACTATTTTACAGATCCTTGTTTTGATTTATATGTTTTCGTTTGTCTTCTCAGATGAAACTATCTATTGCCTTTTTTTTTTTTAATGGATGTTTTGAATCTAGCTGTAAAGGGCAGCAGAAAAAACCACACAGCGATCCCAAAAAAAGACTAACTGGTTTATTTACTCAAAATCTGGGTTCTTTTGTGCTGAGGTATGCAAAACTGCCATAACAGGTTTTGTTAGTATTTGAATCTAGGGTCATATTTTATGGCTAGATATAAAGGAAATTGGACAAAAGATGTAGGTCAAACAGTATAATTAAAAATACAGACCAGAAAATTGTATCCAACAACAGTTCACTTTCCTGCTGCTAATGAAATATGCTAGCACAAATTAATGGCTTGTTACTTAAGCCTGCTGGAAAGACTTTGTCCTAGTACAAAAGGCATTCAGTTTGAGCATGTGTGTTACAATCTTCTAACCAGCAAAGCTGGAGGTTGGACATAGCTATAAATCCAGTGTGTTCTGGGAATAGAAGCTGGCAAAAACACTCCTAGCAAAATAATCAGGGCAGGATCTCACTGGGATTTGAATACTGGCTAATGTAACGAAGTGCAGATGTTTATGTGGACCAAAAGACATTCCCAGAATAAGAATACTGTACAAACACAGGAGGATTTTTATAGCAGAAAAAAAAAAGGAAGCGAGGATAATAAAACATGTGCTCTGATTTCTGATGGAGCACTTTCTGTTTTCCTCAGCTTGGCTGCACTGAAGTGGGCAAGGCTGCCTCTATTACTGGGGCCTGCTGAAGCCTCTGCAAGTGACTTTGGTTATGGTTCTGGTGCTTACCTGAAGGTCACAATGGGCTTCCCATGTGGTCCCACCATCTCCTGTCAGTGGAGAGAAGCAAGCATTTCTGGAAATGTTGCCTCGAGGTAACAGCTAAAACAGGTCAGATGAATCTTGTCCCAAATGCCTGCTTCTCTCTGCCAACTACAAAGAGAGTCTGGGGTGATTTGTGAGCTTAAATGAAGATATACTGTACGAAGAGTTTGGCCAGATAAATTCTGATAAAATATGGAGTTTTTTCCTCTGATTTCAGGGAACCCTCAGTTAGCTCTTCAATGAAATCTCCAGAAGTACTGGGTAAGCCCTGGGCTGCCAACAGCCTGGGAATACTCTGCCTTGCCCTGCATACAATCACTTTTCCTTCTGTTTTTGTGTCAGCCTCTTGTGCATTGGCCTAAATGAGGGTGCCTGTCCTAAGAACATGTTTACTGTAGCTTCCCCATGGCAAGTGGCCTCACTGATCTCAAACTAGGAAATGGGGGGCTCAGGGCTCTGAGCTTTAGGAGGACACAGACTACTGCAGTTTTGTTTTGTACTTAAGATTACTTCTTTTTGCAACCTGAGTTTATTTATGGGCAGCTTTACTATTGTGCCAAAAGTTTTGCTTTATACTCAGAAATGGTAATTTATATTCCTACTGCATCACTCTGCTACCCTAACTTTACTTCTGTGTTCTCAGAAAAACTGAGCTAAGTAATTCCCATTAGTTTTTCACCTGTATCGAAATTATTTTTATCTGAACTCCACTGCCTGCATAGTGGCATAATTTCTATTCTCTTGGTTCCTTCTTGCTTATATAGATGAAGAACTGCCTGCTCTTTATTTTCCTTATAAATTTTTAATTTAACTGGTATTTATTGCTTTAGTTCTGGGTTTCCCAGCCCTCTTAAATTTTGTTTTGTTTTAAGTTTTTTTTTCCTGTTGTGGTTCTCTGCCTACTCTTGACTCCTTGCTTCCAACCTCTTCCCTCTGGTTTTATTTTGAGGGCAAGTTCCAGTTAGCTTTTTACCATTTATTTAAAGATTCTCCAGCTTCTCCAGTGTTAAAATTGTTGAGGTATTAGTTGCATTTTTTTCTAATTACTTTTATTTATTTCTCTAAATGAGACCCTGTGGGATGTTAACACCCTTACATTCAGGTCTGGTTTTGTTCTTGCATTCTAACCAAGATTATGTACTCTTCTGTAATATTCTCAGCACTTACCAAAACCATGTGAAATATTGTCTGTGTTCAGCGACTGGTTGAAGGCATTTGTTGAACATGACAGACTTCAGTAGTAATCTAGTAAAAATCGTTATCTTCAATCCCCAAAGTAAATAAATGTAACGCACATAGTTTCGCTTTGACCTTTGAACGGTGCTAGCCATTCAGAAATATCAATTCATTAAGATTCCAGACTGTCCCATCACCTTTACCATAAATTCAGTCTTTCTAAAGCATCTCATATCCTGCCGCCAAGGTATGGTTGCTGCCCTACCTTGTTTATATGATGCTTATCATATCAGCTTTCATGTTTTATGTTGTTAGTTCAAGCTCTTACGTAGGCATCTGTTCGCAGTGTATACTGTGTATACTACAGATACACTATATGCAGTGTATACTGGCTGCTTCTCATTGATTTCGCTCAGATCCCTGGCTGGGTTCAGTGAAATCTTCTAGTCTGATTTTTTAGATAACACTTCCTTCCGCATTTTAGTCATCCTGTCCCCTGGTGTTTCTTTGTGTCCCTTTTTGCTTGAATTTCCACTTCTCTCAGATGTGAAATTCAGGTGCAGAGATTTGAGTTCTCCAAATCCTTCCCACAGTTGCTTGGTTTGCAGCTCTTATTATCGGTGAGGCCAGTCCCATAACAAGCAACAGGGATTTGTCCAAGGCCTTAGGATACTCTCAACCAAGAAGAGTCCCAGAAAAGTACATCCTACACTGCTGCATTCGGCCTCTTGGCCATCTCCTGTGTTTGTCAAGTCAAACCTGTGACTGACCAACAGCTGTTATCTTTCTGTGGTCTCTCATGAAAGAAAGAAATGTGAAACTATGTGCCCAGAGCAGCCACATTCTGCAAACCATTGAGAAATAGATGCTACAGATGGTTGCTCTGTGATTTATTACGAATAAACTCTCTTTCCCCTTTGCTCCCAAGAAAGAAATGCCAAATCCTTTCCCTTCTTGCTTCTTCCCTTAAAGACTATTTCCTTTTTTTTTTCATTTTGCTTTTTTGATATGCCCCTCACTGACAAGTGAATAGAATAACAGTAATTCCACATGTTAGGAAGAGAGCATGGCTACTTTAGAAATTATCACAAATTAAGTGTTTCCTGTGATAACTGTGCAACTTTTGTGTTAGTGGATTATTTGTATACAGTGCATTTGTCAAAAAGTTATATTTCTTTCAAATTCTTTCATTCCTTTTATTCTGTTCAACTTCAAGTAATAGTTTCAGGTGAGAGAAATGAGGAGAAAATAGATTTTGATGTCAGCATAGTTTGTTTCAGGAAAAAATGAACACAAAAAGTTTCAATTCTTCTTTTGTAAAAATGTTTTTTTACCACGTCAAATTTCTTATTTATTTACCTAAACTTTCTGAAGTGTCCTTAAGAAACTGGACTAAGGAGGGAGGTTTGATAGCAGGTTGCAGAAGGATACTTGATAATTTTTGGCCCAAACCAGGTTTTTCTCCTATTTTCCTCAGACTGGCAATCAAAATGGGAAAAATCACATTCATCCAGTTCTGTTCCTGGTATTAAAAGAAAAGTCTTCTTGTTAAAGGAGATGCTGAATAATCAGTTTTTAATGAAGTTCTTACATCATATGTTGTCTATGTAAGAGTGGGAATTTGTGCTTTTTACGTGATCAGTTCTCCAGGTCCAGAGTTCACAAGTGATTTGCCCTGGAGAAAGGGGCTTCTTCTCAACTGCTTTGTCTTTTGCTCTGCCAAGCTGACGTAGGCGAAATGGATGAAGTATACCAGATCACTTCTACTGAGAAGGTCCAGCAGCTGGAACAAGAGCTGGCAGCACAGCCGGCAGAGCTGAGGGCAGAAATAGAAGACAACAGGATACTCCAGGGAATACTGAGTAGGGAATACAGGTAACAAGAATTTCCTGGGGAATGAGGGAGAAAGCGAGATTATAACAATGCATTGTATCTCTTTTTGGGGTTTTTTTTTGGTCACATGTCTATGTAACTCTTCAATTTTGAGACCTGAGTACACACATGGGAGCCAGGAATGGCAGCTTTTTCATTGTGTGTCTATGTCTACCACAGAATTATGGATGAAATAGAAGAGGATGTCAAAACATAAACTAAATTGATTTCACGTGCCCATCGCTAACAGAACTTTAAATCTCCCTAGCATGTCACGTATTTCCTTCTTACACTGAAGAGGAAGTAGCTTCAAACAGAGCACTGGGATGTACAAACAGAATGGTCACATATAATACAGCCACTCTTTCCTTCCTCAGCGATGATAAGATGCAAGCTATGACGATGTACCCAGGTTTGGTGTTATGCTTCAAGGAAGCTGTAGACCGCCTGGAGAATATTTGGAGGAAAAGAGAGGTCAAGAACACTTGAGTAGGACACTTGAAACAGCAAGGAAAGGAGCTGGACTTACAACTCCACTCCATTTTCTCTAGTTTATAAGTCTTCAGACACATGAGATATTGCTGTAAAGATGAAGGGAATAAACTTCTGTTTGTGCTTATGAATAGGACAGAAAATAATGGGCTAAAATTCAAACTTTACAACCATTGTGTTAATTAAATGCTGATATTTGGACTAGGAGATTGCTGACCATCTTTGATTGAAGGTCCTTAAGAGGACAGATGAAAACCCTTAGGGAACAGATTACTTTTCCCTGCCTTGCAGCAATGGAAGGGGTAGATGATCACAGAACCTCTCCTGGTCTTACCTCTTTAGGGCTCTAAAGTGCTCCAGCAGAGTTTCCCATGTATTGCTTTTGCACAAGACTAAGGAGCCCATTTTTTAATGGTTGAGTGTTCACCTATGTTTTCAATTTGCTTGCATTCATTTTATTCAGTTAAATGAAAATGTCATAATGTGTGCTTGCCGTAAGTGTATGGATACATTAGAATTAAAAAATAGTTCTCCTCCAGAAGTTTTCTCAGCCCCTCCTTCTGTGATAGAGGCATATTTGGAAGGAAGTTGTTTAAATTGTGAAGGATGCTTGTCAAGGAGCTCCACTGTGTAGCTGTGGGTTGAAATATGTGCCCAGAGAACTGACAAGGATCCAGATGGACTTTTAAGGGCTTTGACTAAAAAATGGAGGTGGAAGAAAATAGTTTGCCAAAAAATGTTGCCAATGAAAAATATTCTGCTGCTTAAATATAGGGTTTTCATACCATTAAACTTGCTTACAGTTAACTTATCTGAGTCATGTTGTGCCTGACAAATGTTTGGTTAAAACGGCTTTTAGGTAATGTCCTGTTGAACATTTTTTTTCTTTTGGAGTTCTGTTCCAATTCCAAAGGATGCAACTTACTTCAGAAAAGAAAGGGAGGTGATACTAAAGAAAGGCTTACAGGTAGGTACCTATAACATACGCTGGCTTAGAAAAAATATCTTTGCTCTTTACCCCGTAGTAACTTAAAATGAAAATCAGACAAAGTGATACTTTTTTTTGGAATGAAAAGCAGTCTGTAAAGACAGAATGGGAAGGGTTATAATGTTTGCAGAGTACTTAAAGAGCTTATCCTTTCTTTTATTAGAATAATAATATGGACCTGGGTCTGCAGCGTTTGCTTATGTGGCAACTCCCAATTAAATTCAAAGCTTAAACTTTTTTCTGTGTTTACCGTTTTTTCGATATCCTGAAAAAGCGATATATCCAACGTGTGCTGCATTTGCAAGTGACAAAAGCAAAACCTCTTGTCATTTAGGCTGATGCCATGCAGAGGGAGGTAGAGAGCTGCTGGAGAAGGGAGCACACAGCAGCCACTTTGCCTCTGCTGCTGCACCAGGTAGGGCTCCCGCTTGCTGTCAAGACGCAGGAGCTTTCCTCTGGCCCACCAGGTTGCACTGTGCGCATTTGAAAATAAAACCGACATGAGGTGGTGGAGTCACCATCCCTGGATGTATTTAAAAAGCGGGTAGATGAGGTACTTAAGGATATGGTTTAGTGGGTAAACAGGGACGGTTGGACGTGATGATCTCAGAGGTCTTTTCCAACCGAGCGATTCTGTGATTCTGTGAAACTCCTTCCTGAAAACAGGCACGAAAGGCTTAGTGCTTTCAGCTTCCTTGTTTGAGGTGAAAATGTCCTCCTCTTCTGTTTCGTTTAAGAACAGGAATTTAAACCAGGTCAGATGGGCTAGGACAAGGTTCTCCTCCTTCCCTGATGCTTTTTTTTTTTGTACTGTTTTGAACTGTTCTATTATATCTGTGTTATGGCATATTTTAATTTTCATTGTAAAAATGGAGTTCAGTTTTCTAGGCCCAGCGGACTGAATTCTGCCCTTTTCCTTGTGTTAACTGCTTTTTTTCATTCCCACAATAATAATTCCATTGGGACAACTTTGATGGGGTACCCTTCATGGATAAATACAACAGCACAGTGGTCTTTGGTGACTGATTAGCTGTTGGTTTGGTGTTATTCTTGGATGATGATCTAAGCACTGCTTAAATTTCCTATAATGTTAAGCTTCTGTTGTTTACGAATGCATGATTTATTTGGTTATTTCTGATTTTATTCAAGTTTTTTACAGACAGAATTTCTCATCTAGTCCACAGTAAATATTTGCACATGCTTAGATGGAAGAGATTTTGTACACGCAGCAGTGTTATTGAACAGCTTTATCCTCTCTATCAGGTAGGAACCAAAACCTAGGACCTAGAACAGTAGGTGTTCATGAAAAACAATGTGTTAACAATGGCTTTTTTCCACCCGAATAAAATGCTATTTATCTTAAGGGTAATATTTCTCTAGAATTTGTCTATGGACATTGACTCTCAGCTATCTGCCTATGGTCAGTATTTGGGCTGAAATTCCTCTTTCCTCATTGGGTTGGAAATACCATTCGTAAGCATTTAGGAAGGAAAGAAACCTTTGAGCTTACTCTCCAAATAGGATTCCTCATGCAGTGGAAATGCAATGGCCTTCTAGCTACTAAAACAAGAAGATGTGGAAATGCAAAAATGACAGTGTCCCTTTTTCATACATAAACAGCAGTGACTTAGGCACATCATGGAGGAATACAATGATGCAGTTCAGAGGGCTGCAAGACTTTCCGTGGCAAGGGAAGGTTTCCTGACAGGAAAGAAGAATATGGTGAATGTAGTGACATGGGAAGATCTGCTGATTTACACTCGCTGGTTAGTGTGTCACCTACACTCTCTGAAGGGTATTTACTGTTTTCTCCAGATAAGACAAGCATTTTTTTGAACAGTGAAGTGTAATTATGAAACATTCAAGTCTTAGATAAGAAAATAAACCAAGAAAGATCAAATTAAATGTAAAAGAAACTTAGAGGTTTGAAGATAATGAGCTAGACTGTGTATATATGACTTTCAGTTCTTTTAGCAAATTAATTTTACTAGAAAGGAAATACTACAGTGATAAAGCTGAATTTAGTAAGTGAAATAATGAACTCCCTGGGTGCAGTGTAGTGTTGGGGTGCTTGCATTTGAGGAGATTCAGGATGAGATGAAAACTTGGTGACTTTTTTTTTCCGTGTTATTACTGTGATGATGTTTTGATGGAGCAGGACATTGTCAGGAGACTGAGTCATATCAATGACTGATCTGTTGACTTGAGGAGTATTTGTTTATCATCTTTTGAAAACAAATCCTCGTTTTATCTCATTTCTTTAATGATTTTATTATACGAGTGCTACAGGTCACTGAATAAACTTCTGGAATTATATACAATGGATAACTATGGGGTTTTTTTTCTCTTTTGTGTTTTATTTTATTACTAAATTTGCAACTTTATTAATAGTTTGTATGCTATGTAGTGACTGAGAATAACAACAGAAATTTTTTTATCTCCAGGTTCTCCAGCATTTGCCTATTTCTCACAGAATAAATGTGACTGATGAGAAATGTCCTGATGTAGTCCAAGACAACTGGGACAAATTAAGAAGTGCTTTTGACAAGAATTCAGGTATTTTTAATATTGATGTGTTTCCCTGTGCAAGAGTTTTAAGAAAAAATGGTGAGAAATTATCAGGTTTCCTTTAAAACTGCAGGTCCTAGAGATAATGCATTTGTTGATGTATATTTTTTGAGAAAGGTCAGCAGTGCAAATGTTGCCATCCTTGGTTTGTATGCTTGAGAAATGTGGAGTGTGGCTTTTAAAGTCATCAAGAATCCTGGAAATCTGATGTACAAATACCAGAACATGGAGCTCTGCATCTGCGGCGGTTGGTCCTCTGGTCTCTGTTCCCTGGTCTGCAGGAACAGATGATTCAGAAGGACACTTGTGGGATCAACTTGGTGGAGAATCCGGGATGTTGTCCTGATTATGCCAAACCCTGAAACTCATCCTTCCAACTTTCTGCCAAAATATAATTTAAAATATTTTTGTGGGTGGCCTGTTTCTGGAGAAACTAAGAGAAGAGAGATATTAAGACTTACACTGAATTATCTCTAGAAAAATATCCTTATGGTTATTTTCAAGTTCTCTTTCCTTTTGAAGGAAGGGAGGGAGTGATGTTGTTTATGTAAAGAGTTACCCTGTGAGTGGTACTTAGCAAGCAAGGCAGCATTCCTGTTGCAGTGTGTTTAAATCCTATGATTTAACCCATGCTTTTATGGACAGGGTGGGAACAGCGTAGAACTGTAGGAGCTCACAGGATTGTCTCTGTAAAAGCACAACCTGGGGACAGCACTCCTGGGGACGAGGCAGGGTCCTCCTTGCAGTTGGGAGAAGTGGACTGACCAGAGTAGAGGAACGAAAAGGGTCTGTGACTTGTCCTCCCCATCTCCTTTCTCCACTGAAAATCTCTACCACTAGGGATGTACTTGTGGGTCTGCACAGGGAAGCAAGGCACAGACCTGGCCTGCAGTGTCACTGCCCAAGCAGTGACAACTAATTGGGAACAGTGCTAAGGAAAGTGCAGATTCACCTGGAACAGGCAAGGGGCCTTTAGCCCTTAGTTAGTGGTCTAACTAAGCTCTAACTGGTCTAACTGGCTCTGCTGGTGCAGCCCTCCTTCACTCCTTCAGCCTGAAGGGACACCATGGTGGAGAGATACAGCAGCATTGTTTCAGGAGTACAGCGCTACCAGTGTTAAGGCACAGGGAGAAGAGGGTTATCTCTTATCTCCAAATGGAGCCCCTTGAATAGGCTACATTTCTCTTATATGAGCAAGATAGGAGAGGAAGGGATGATCCATGATCTCGGATAGGATGGGCTAATGAGGTGGGTGTTGCTGTGAGGAAGAGTGCAAGCCTTACAATGTTACAGAGTTCACCTGAGCCATTCATTTTGCCTTGGAGTAGACCCTTACTGGTATTAAAATAAACAACTCAGAAGTGCTCCAGCTCACTTTGATCTTCAGTATCTAGTTATCTAATATTTGAGGAACAGTATCATATTACCATCATAAGCTTCATTCATCCTCTAGCTAGATCTGAGCTTCATAGATGAAATGACAGAATGATTAAACAAGACATTAAAGACAAAGCTGAAATAAAGTATGGAATAGAAACGCAGATGGCCCTTTATTGCTGAAACAATAAGATAATAAATTAGATTACATGTAGTTCCACTAAACCTCAAGAGTTTTGCTGAACTTTAGCAAACTGTAACTTACCTATTAGAATCTTTGTGTGTATCAGCAGTATCTACCAGTACAAAGTAAAGGAGAATCAGTTGACAATTATTTGGACTTTAAAAAATCTTTAGAAAAGTAGTAGCAGAAAAAGTGCTGCTGTTTGCTATACTTTGGCCTAAGATAAAACCCAGCCAACCAACCAACCAACCAAACCTCCAGTGTTAAATACACCTATCCAAGAGCTGAAAAAAAAAGAAGAAAAGAGGGCAAAACTTACAGGAACATAGTAGTTTTGGCTCTTCAAGGATGAAGGAGTACTGATATCCTTCAAAGCCTTGAGCAAGCCTGAGATGAGGTAAAGAAGGAGGGGGAAACATTTCAGTTCTTCTGAAAATGGGTGCTGTGTTGCCACCAGACTCTTCAACACTGACACCAGGCCAAACTCAGCCATCCCTAGTACACCCTTGTTTTAGAAGTTCATGACAGCAGTATCATGCCAGAATCAAATACTGGAGGAGTGATAACCCTGAAACAATAACATACTTGAAGTTCTTTTGGCATGTGAAGATTTGGGAAGTATGTGTGTCAGAAGAATGTTGTACCCTCTGAGCCAGGTCTCTATTCAGGCAGTAGGATGTGTTAGCTGGTGTCCTTTCCATGCTGGAATATAGGCACTCCTCCAAGGACTGGAGGGGTGCCCTGACCTGCAGCAGCTGTTAGTATTTTGGTTGAAGGCCCTTCCTGGAAAGAAAAATGAAAATAAAATCCATAAGATGTGGGTTCCCCCCTCCCATCACATTCCATTATCTGACATATTTCTGCTTCAGGACAAAAAAAAAAGGCGGGAATTACATCATTGCATGGATGCAAAGCAAAGGGCACTGACAGCATTGCTTACAGTCATCTTACAGTCATGTTGCTTAAAGTGTTGATGTTCCCCAGCTGATCTGACGATGGCTTTTTGCAGAATCCTTCCATAAGGACACTGGATTCACTTTGCCCTGGCACAGCACTGAAACTGAGGACCTGAAACCTCAGCTCCAGCTTCTGCTTTCTCACTTTGACATTGACTACAACCTTAAGGATCTCGAGAACTCAGCTGATGAGATGGAGCTCTTTCCCCTGGTAACTGAAATTACTTCTCAATATTTAAAAGAAAAAGGAAAAAAAGATAAAAATAAAGGAAAAAAGTCTTTAAAAGTATGGAAGGAAGTTCTGTTTATTTTAAGTCAGTGTTTTGCACCATAGAAAAACAAGATTGTGGGCATTTTTGCTATTTACGGGAAGCAGCAGAGAAGCCCAGCTCTTCCCACTAACTGCTGATATTCGTATTTTCAGCATCATGGCTCTGAATCCGCACCTTTGTTCTGCCAGCTCTCGTGCTTTTTGTGGGTTTTTCTCGAGTTTTCCTGCCCTCGTTTGGTGTCTCCCTGAGCTGTGGTTCTTCCACTAGAGGTCGGCTGTGACACACCATTGCCCAGGACCTCGCTGAGCCTCTGCAACTCGGGGGTTACTGTCAGGAAAACTCTGGGTTTTGGCTTTTCTGTCACCCAAAAGGCAGAACAAACCAAAAATCTCTACCGCGTGTCCAGGGTCCAAGGGATAGCAGAGATGTTAAACAAAAATAACATACTACTTGTAAATAAATGGCTTGCCTTACAAATCGCACTCTGTATGAGAACAGGTGGTTCAGCCTTAAAGGACAAAGGTTTGGTTGCATAAACTGGTCTGTAAGACTGTCGTTAAATTAACATTTGACTAGTTGAGCTCAACTCACTGAACAATCTGAGATAAGCACAGGCAGATGTGTTTACACAACCAGGCAACGATGTAAAGTACTTTCATAGTAGGGTGGCAGTGGCTTACTAGATTTTTAACAAGATTTTCAAAATACATCTTCTAGGCTAATGCTATTCCCACCAAAGCCAGTGATAATAAATTTTCCATTGACTTTGACTGAGAGATAGTGTTTTTTGGAAATCCTGCTCTTCTTTTCAGAGGCTCCAGTGTTAACAGTTGAAATTGTGTCTGCTGGAAAGAAAAGACAGGACCAGAATGTCTCCTTTGATGCTTTATCACTCTTTTTTTCCAGACAATATACAGTATTACTTTGCCATAGGATTTAATATCCGGCTTGGGAAATTTGTAACAGTATCATCTCCTTTTATGCTTTAGGTTGTCCAAAAATTTAGAAGAGTCTTCTGCAAGCAGCAAACAATGAGAATGTTTCCAGTTTATGGCACAGAGGTTTCTCGGTCAGAGAGCTGGGGTGTGCTAGATCCAGCCAGGGCTTAAGAAGAGAGCCAACTGGATCCCTTTTTTAAAGGTAATTATGAGGAACTTTGCTTTTTCAGTTATGTTAGTCAGGATGTACCAAGATACATTTCAGCAATTATATTCTAAAATGTATCTTTTAATAAAGAGAGTGATGATTTTTGAATAATTCAGGCCTTATGAAACTACTTTTTTCTGGATAGTCAAAAGCACCTTTTCATGTCTGTTCAAAATAAAAAGTGAATGTCTTGCACTTTCCTTACTAAATATTGCTTCTTATACCAAAACCATGTAGTGATATTAATATGTTTTGTGGTTACTTTTATGTCAACCAGATTAAGCCTAAAGTAGATCCTTGGCAGCAAAAGCTTTTGATAAAACTAAAACAATGGAAGAAAGTGGATAAGCTGATGGAACTTCATTCAAAATTTGTAGAGGTTATAACTTAGTTATTTAAATTAAAGTTATTTTAATTTATTTATTGGACACTTTCAGGAAAATTGAAATGTCTTGAGAAAGGTTGCCTCAGCTTTATGCATCCTGTGTATATGCTCAAATTCATTAAAGACCCATTACTAAGAAGCCATAGGTGTATTTTTCCATTTCTTTCTCAGTTCAGTGGTTTCAAAAGGAAGCTTGAACACTTGCATAAATATTCAAAAGCTCCAAAGTTCACCTAAGTCAGGTCAGAATCAGCCCTGGAATTTGTGTCAAAGTGATTGCTCAGAACAGCTTTCTTGTAATGTGACCAAGGTTCAGGCCTGTGGTCAAAAGGAGAGATGCTCCAATAGTGAGGTGCAAGTCTCAAACTTAGTAGGACACAATGTATAGACTGCCTGTGCCCCAGGGAATGCTTACTGAGTGTCTCTGTATTTTGGTTGCAGCTTTACCAGTTCTCTTTATTCTGGTGATATATTTTCATTTTTGGCCATTTTGAGAATGTCCTGCAAGCCAGCTCTGTCTGGGCTGCCTGTCAACCAGCCTCCCTGAAAAAATGGCAGTGTGCATTCACAAATCAGGCCTGCTTTGCATTCAAAAGGAGCCTGAGGCACCCCTAACACCTCGTATTATGGTCTTGCAAAGGGACAGGGTCATCTGTGAAAAGCAGTATTCACTTGTTCTAATTGCATCTTATTCACTGAGTGAACCCCGCAGGGCTGACTTTCATATGTCCAGTAAGCTCTGCTCCTTCACACCGGCTGCAAAGGCATGCATGGACTGCAGGGTGTGATAGGCTGGTCAGGTGTACTGGAGTCTTGCCACATTTTTCCAGTTAAATTTTAGCAGATCTGGTATTGTCATCTGTACAACCCATACGACAGGAGTTCTGTCCCTTGCAGAGGATGAGGAAAACTACACTTGAGTCCTGCACTTGGGTCACAGCAACCCCACGCCATGCTACAGGCTTGAGGAAGAGAGGCTGGAAAAATGCCTGAAGGAAAAGGACCTGCAGGTCCTGGACCAGTTGAGAGCTGACTGAATAGGAGCCAGCAGTGTGCCCACATGGCCATGAAGGCCAACAGCATCTTGGCTTGTACCACAAGTAGTGTGGCCAGCAGGAGTAGGGAAGTGATTGTTCCCTTGTACTTGGCACTGGTGAAGCTGCACCTTGAATACTGTGTTCAGTTTGGGGCACCTCACTACAGGAAAAACATTGAGTTGCTGGAGCATGTCCAGGGAAGGGCAAGAAAGCTGGTGAAGGGTCTAAAGCACAAATCTGATGAGGAGTAGCTGAGGGAACTGGGGTTGTTCAGCCTGGGGAAGAGGAGGCTGAGGGGGCACCTTATTGCTCTTGACAGTGCTAGGTTAGTGGTTGGACTTCATGATCTTAGAAGGTCTTTTCCAGCCTAAATGAATCTATGATTCTATGACTTGAACTAATGCCCTTAAGATGGCAAACTGCTATGAAAGAACTGGATCTGTATAAAAATCTGTCAGCAAAACTGATCTGGCAATCAGAGGCTGAGATTACTGCCTCATCACCCTGCCTGCAGCCTGAACACTATGAGTGTAGTGAGCCTGAAGCACCATGAACAATAAGGACATCTTGTGGTTAGACTCCCAGTTTTACACAGGAATCAGAGCTTTTGTTGAGGCAAACTACCCTGTGGCTTGGGAAAGGGAAACTGGAGGCTCCTTGCTTACCACTTTGCTCACCTTTCACAAGTCTCTTCCCACTACTTGACTTCTGATTTTGTCTAACAGGCCCCAAAATAAATATCACTCTGAGGGAATAAAGATGTTTGGCAGTGGAACTCTGGATGGTAATGGTGTTCAGTAGAGAAGCAGTAACAGATCAGAAGTTGTTGACTCCCAACCAGTAAGAAAGTAAATGAAGGAAATGCTTGGGAAATGAATGGAAAAATAATTTCCATAGGTTTTCTTTTTAATTTATGTTTTTATTAAAGGCTGCATGCTCCCCTGCCCCTCCCCCTTCTAATGATTATTCTTTTTTTCATCCTATGTTAAGCATAGTTCCATTTGTTTTGACTTTTCAGCATCCTATAAAAATCCTGGTCTTAATTCCCTTAGAACTCCTATCAATGCTCTGCTAGAATTCATATCAACATAATTTTACCAATGCAAATAATTACTAAAGCATGGCAATGTTCTTCGAATTATACTTCTGATACAAATGGCAATTAAAAAAACATCCTGTGAGATTAGATGTGTGGTTTAAAAATACTTATATACTGCTTCTGATTTTCTTTAACCTGTTTTTCGGCAGTACTGACTATATATTTAGTCTCCCTGATTCCCATTTAACATTCATTCTTTACTTCTGTGAGTCTCACAATACATTTTAGAGAGAACTCTTTAAACTGCAGAAATCAGAAAGTGGATGTGTGGACTTTGCAGCTGAAGTTGGCTTTACAATATTTTAAATAATTGAATGGATTTGATTTTGATGATGCTCTTGAAAGATTCCCCATTTATGGTTGGTTTTTTGTTTGGTTTTTGTTTGTTTGTTTTGTGGTTTTTTGGTTGTTGTTGGGGTTTGGGTTTGGTTTTTTTTAACTTTAGGACTGAAATGAGCTTTCTTTTATGATCCCTGTTTTCAGACCTTTTCCCCATGCCAGATATTTCACAAAGAAACCATTCTTTCAAGTCTTTCCACAGCATGTAATTTTTCTGGAAAGCCTGGCCAAAAGCCATCGTCACCACTAACAGAAGTAAAAATGGCTTTGCAGCTCACAGACAATGAAAAAAAGATAATTCTCCTTGTTTTTGCAGAATGACTTGCTCACCAAATACTGTATGTTTGGTTTTGGCCAAGAAACACGTACACCTCCTTAAGGGTGAGGGGATTACCCACTCATCAAAAAAAGAAGTGCTTTTGGATTCTTTCTCATCTCTGTATTTCCTCTGTATGCTGTGACAGGCAAGTCCATTTCTGTTTTCACCTTGGAGAGGGGGCAGCAGACAATTTCCCAAATAAGGGAGAAGCAGTAACAAGCGGTGCTGCAGAGGCTCCCTCAATAGATGCTCCGAATTGACTGCAGGATAGGGGCTGACACACTGACTTGGTTGCCTTGTAAATCTTTCATCTGTATTTGATGTGAGTTGAAACAAGGTCTCGGACATAGAGAGGGTGATGGAGGGTCTCCAGGAACACGCAACAGTGGTGTTTGAACCACATCCTGCGTGGTCAAGTTCTGCTGCTTCTTCTTATGCCTCAAGACAGCAGAGCTACCATCATGTCTGGAAGGAGATCTATGCCTGCACTGAGCTCCACCAGGTACTTAGAAGGGGAAATTATGAATAATGATAAATTAAAACCTATAGCAAGTATTTGTCAGCTCTGATAGAGGGGTCCTCTAACAGATTACTGTTTGGATATCACCTTTTTCAAAATTCAATCTCCTGCTACTGCTGCTAAGCAGAACCTGCCCAGCTGCAATGTATGGTTGCGTGCCCAGGATGCATACGTGGTGTCCTCTCCTCCTCAGGGCTCACTAGCTGCCGTGCAACCACTGGACCAGCGCAAGATTGCGCCTACCTAAAAATAGCATGTAGATGTCCCTGCAGCAGGGCTGGGCTGTGGATTTGGCCACAAGAAATACAAGTGCCCCCTAGCATTTACTGGAGAGTGTGGTATTAACAAATGGGTTAGCATGAGAGTATGGAGGAGAGGGAAGGAAGGATAGCAGGATGGCTTGGGTGCTGGAGGCCATCTAGCATCCGAGCACCTGTGGACCTGACAGCAGATGCCTGCCTTGTGCAGGGGCAGGTGTGAAGGCAAGTTCCTCCTCCTGTGGAGGATGTGACATTTGTGGGCATGGCCTTATGGAGGTTTGGTAGCTGCAAGAGCAGAAGCTGTGAGGGATCTTCAAGTTTTGGAGAGGGGCAAAAAAACCACAAACGGCCTAACTGGCAGGGCAGTGAATGAGAAGTAGGACCTACCTCTCTGATATCTTGGAAATTTGTAGTAACTGTGCCATGCCTTGCGTGGCAAGCTCTGTGACTAATCCTCTGAATTTGAAGGTATCCTTTTGATGCAAATGGACTTTGATCACCTATTTGTCTATCGTCCTCCTGACTCAGAAGTTGCTCACAGCTGCTGCTGTAGTGAGTATAAAAGCATTAAGCACAGGATTCTCACATCTCAGAAGTTCCTGTATCTGCAGCCCAGTGCTTCATTTAGTTCACTCTAACTGTGCCTGCCTGTCCCAACTGGTGGTCCCTGGTGGCAAGTCAAGAAAGGACTGAACAATCTCCTTGCTCCACTGTTGTTTTTTTAAAGAAGAAAGGTCTCAGCTGCTGAGGCTGGATGCAGCCTTGATGTTGATGAGAAGTTTTTGCACTCCTGCTCTTGGCCAGGACCAAGCAGAGCAGGGGAAGGGGAACAGAGGGAGAGAGACAGCATTTAGTGCATTTAGTCTCTCCCTATTCCCTCTTTCC